AAACTACGTTTGTGATATTGGAAGAACCAATTATAGATGAATATGTTGTAGATAAAGTTTGTGTGAAGGAAAAAAATTATATATATATGATTTCAGAATATTGTATATCTTTATTATATCGCTCTAGTTTACAACTCTCATGAAACTACCTCGAATCCTTGAATGTTTATTTTAAAGCCTTGATACATAATCGTTAGTTCTATTTATAACAGGCCAATTTTTTCTAAAATCCTCTTATAGTCTTTATTTCAAACTTTGTTTTTTTGCTATACAAGATTAAACAGAGGATCTTCTCTATAATTATCACAGAGTTACCCAAACTACCATGTATTCGTGGGTCTTTACTATCAATCTTTACTTGCTTGGCAATTAAATGATGACTGAAGTATTGTGCCAGATACTACCACCAATAATGTATTCATACAGATAACAGTTTATTCACTAATAATAGCTTAAAGAGATAATGAGAATGAAAGTTAGGCATTTTCCTGTTTGGATCGATACCTTATATATTTCTAATTGCTAATGATTACTACATTGTTCATGCAATACTAATTGCTACTGATTACTACATTGTTCATGCAATCACTATTTTAGACTTTTTAATTATATCATGATCACCTGATATATTATGTATTAATTAGATCACCGATCAATATGTACCTGATCACTAGTCACATAGGTACCGTGTAGCACTGCAATATGAGCTAGAACCCCAGTAACTTCGTCCCCGAAGTTACAGCAACTCAAATCTATTCTACCAAGTTTCTTTATTTTAAAGTGACTACCAAATACTGCACTAACCAATCTATTATTCCCGATCATATGGTCTAAATATAGTTATTTGAAAAATTCTATCCTTCTAACATTTTCAAATATCATTGGGTTTCGATTCAATCTTCACAATGCACTTTCAATGACCTTTTTACTACCACTTGTTTTTATCTTTCAGCAACTCACCCTATTTATCCTTACTAAACTCCTCACATTACGCTTAGCCTTTAACATGCTATTCAACATTCACATCATATTTGGCTATTCTGAAAAAGCACCTTTTAACCCAATACTTTCTTCATTTTTATAATCAAATCCAAGGTCATTACAACCCTTCTCATTTTCATAGTGATTTGCTTTACCATCTGCAGCTTTACCCCCATTATCATTAACTTCAAACTCATCGGCACTCAAATTTTCCTATTTCTTCAATGTTTTCACCAAACCCTCCATTAGCATATCTATTTTCACAACCACATCCAGTGGTGCTTCCATCAATATCATTGTATATTCACTTCGATATTGTTCATCTGTTTTTTCAGTATTATCTATATCTTCAGATTTTTGATAATTCATGAATACCTTATATTCATGATAGCAATGTCCAATTATAGATGCTTCATCAGCATCATCCATATTTGCAGATTTTTGACAAGGAATGAATGTTTTATGTTCGTTCTTTTTAACACCAGCTTCAACAGCTTTCGATTCATTTGATTCATCCTTGTTACCATTGGACTCCACAGGTAAAATTTTGTTTTTTATTTGTATTGCTTTGTCCCTGAATGTTTTAACAATGTTCTCTTCCTTTTCATTATTAATATTTTCATCTTTTACTTTTATCCTATCCTTCGTTTTACCTTCCTTCAATACATTTACTATACTTCTCATGTCTACAATATTATTCACCCTCCTATTATCATTTTTTTCCTTCACACAAACTTTATCTACAACATATTCATCTATAATTGGTTCTTCCAATATCACAAACGTAGTTT